TCTCATTAGGGACTTGCTGTTCTGTACCTGCAAATCTTCATCCCTCAGCTGCCAGAGATACGAAAGCAGAAATCTCATCTATAATAGTAGTAGTATGTACATCCTATTAAAGAGGATGGATAACAATATCCAGAAGTGCCTCAGGGCCACAATTTCAAAGACATGTGTAGTGCTGAAAGATGCAGGTGAAAGACTCCGGGGACTTTCCAAAACCCCCAGCTGCATAACTCCCATTGATTTCAGTTATTCAAATGAAAAGTTGTTTAATGTATTTGTTCTGGAGCTGAAGTTTCACTTCAAGTCTGGGAGAGTCATAATCCCATGGGCTAATTTTTAAAATAGATTCTCACTGATTTCAAAGGCAGGTAAATGACTAAATACTCAGATAAATCTAGCCCAGAGTGAGGCATAAATCCTATTTAGGGTCTATTTCCCTTTGAAATAAGTTAGGCACCTATCTACTTTGAGATGGGTTTTAGCATCACAAACATTTTGGCCATAAATCCATTACGCAGATACAGCAGAGGCTAACCCCTAAATATTCCAATATCATATATTTTACAGTTAAGGAATCAAAATGAAATGAAAGTTTTTCACAGCTGGAAATTGTCCAAAAATCAAAAAAATGTACATACTTTATAGACAAATTCTTCTAAAAAAAAATGCAAAGATGACAATTGCCAGCATTAGAAAATGAGGTAGTTGAGTAATTGAGGGATATTGTGGAGGAAGACAGACAAAGGATACAAGAAGAAGCTAAAACAGGGGCCTCACTGGGAAAAAAACCCACACAATTTGAAGAGGGGCATGAAAATTGAAGACTTGAAGTCAAGACAGATGGAGCCAATACATTCAAAAGCATTTGCAACCGAGCTTATTTCATGAGACTTTGCTATTTGGAATGGAAAATATTGTAAAATCATGTATTCTACCTCTGCCTCTGTAGGAAGTCTGTTTTGAAGATATCCATCCTGGATGTGACCTTAAACACAGGATTGTGGAGGCTGAACTATTCCCCCGATCAATACTGCAGGCCCAGCCAGGCAAACGTCCTGGTGAGTCTCAGGTCTGCTGCTCTCTGCTCTTCCACAGCAGGCAGCAAAAGACCTGCTTAATCCTGAAAACTATTTTAAAGAGGGTTATGAAACAACCAGACAATTTCAGCCCCAAGGCTGGCTATCAATACCCACTTTAGCTCAGTAACGCCTATTCAGCACCCTGCTCCTCCTCCCAAAGCATCCTGCAGTGAAATCCTTTTGTTTCCCAAGGAACAACATAATTCTCAAATGCTGCGTCTAGCCTTGCTCTTCTCTAATATTTCCAAACATTTGTATGAGCAGATAAAATCCCTGGGATATCAAGCTTTCTTCTTTCTGAAATTAAATTACCTTCCACGTTCTTGAGTAAACTATAGAGCTGCAAGATACCGCCCAAATCTCTCTCCTCTGTTGCAATGCTCCTGCACGCTATAAATACAAAGTTAATTTGTGCAATGTGTGGGCTCACGCTTGGAAATGCAGAGGACTGTACAAGCTAATATCCTTCCCAGGAAAAAACACAGCATGACGTACGAAAGAAAATGGTGCAAGCGAGAGGCAGCTGAGGGTCTCTAAAGCGAAAACAATGGCATATTTTCCAAAGATAGACTGAAGGTCCCAACAGTGCCGAGCAGAGAAAAGAGAGGATGTCAAGAGAAACCAGAGTTTTTGTATGAGGAAATGACTGGAGGATGAAAAGGGGGTGGCAAGAGGCCGAGCTCACTGCGGTGAAACGGCTGGCGGACAGTCAGGCGATACGTGGCTGCAGCCCAAAGCGTTAAAAATCCTCTGGCATCTATCACCATTTGTTTGGGACTGACTTCATTTCCAAACTTTGGGATAAATATTAGCGCAGCTATTCAAGATAGCCAAGACACCCGGCCCCTGTTTTTTCTCACTTTATGGCTTTTAGGTGTGGACTGTAACACATCACTTAAGCAGCACAAAACAGATTTACTGAGTACGTCATTGCACTAGGCTTCAAAAAAAGATATTGTTTTGATTGGGTTGGTGGTAGGGTTCCACCCAGGATCCCTGGGAAAAGCTAATTAAGGACAACTGCTCACACCATCACACACAGTGAAATGAAGCAAAGTGGGGAGAAGCAGCCATGCCCGGAGTTGCTTCTGGGAAAATTATTTCATGCCTCCAGAAGCTTGGGCATAAGGGAGGATTCACCTGGGATTTCTTTCATTTCTGGAACCACAGAAATTCAACTATTTGATCACTCTCTTATCTCCAGTAAATACTTCCACTATTTTATTTACTTATTATGCATTCTTTGATTTTATGCTTGCTACCTTGTTACTGTACGAAGCTAATTGATTACATCCATAAAACCAGCAGGGTCCACCCAATCTGATGGTTACAGCGGAATCTTCCAGCAGACTTAAAGACAGCCGGAATTTTTTGTAGCTGTCTCTTCTTTTCCAGCTACCCTTGGACCTACACATCTCATTAGAAACATAGTGCATACAAGTGACCCCTAATAGCTAGAGACCCCAAGGCTTTTTATATTGGCCCCACTTAAAAAAAACCAAACAAAAACCCAAACAAAAAAACCCCCGCCAAACTCAAAACAAAACCAAAACCCCAAAAACCAAAAAAAGCCCAATCTACTCAAGGAGGTAGAAAAGAGGACAGTGGGGGAGTCCCTGTGTGAATTTCAGCAAAGGAGATCAAAGCAATAGTCTACAAAAATCTGCCTTGCATCCATCTAGCCATGAGGGCAAGAGCTGGAGGAGCTGCCACGTGGAGTTCCAGTGCCAAGAGGAAGGAGAAGTTCTGCGTTGTGATGTCCCTCAACACAATACAGGTCCCCAGCATTGCCTGGTAACTGCAGTAACAAACCCAACCCCTCTTGCCTCTCTATACTGGAGCAATGCTTGGACAGCTGGAAACAGAACTGGTCACCATCAGCCATCCCGCTGCTAAAATACAGACTCTAGAAACCAGCTGAGTTTTGAAGGAACGAACAGGACAACACTGATGACTGCCAAAGACTATCCAGAGCCTCCTTGAGAGGCCTTGTGGATTTTAAACAGCTCCTCACATCTTGGACGCAAGGCGAGGGACACATCCTCTGTCCCCAAAAGACATGCTTCTACCTCGGATCTCCCAACAGAACAACTACTGCTTGTGCCAGGGGCTGCTACAGCTCTGTGGGTACAGTTACACAGGCTGCACTTTCTAAACCACTTGCAGAGACAGCATGCTTAAGAGTTGTTATTTCTTACAATTTGTGTGTTGGATGGTTTGCTAAAATTAGGAAAAAGTATATTCCAGAGATGGAACATTTATGGCTTCTTTACCATTACTGTATATTTTAATCCTCAAAAATAGATTTAAGTGACATGATAAGTAAAGAGTCCTGTTTAATCTGTTTCAGCCTGTTTGCCACATTCCTGGTCTGGCCTGGTTGACTTGTTAATTTAGAGACGCATAAAACCATCTGTTTCACTGTAGACTTTGTTTTAAGCCTCAGAGGAAACAAACCACACAAATAAATGAAATGCACTATGTAATTTCTGTTAGAATATATGCATTTACAGCCATCAGAGCAGACACTAAGTATCATATAACTCTAATCTTAGTGCAGATTTTAAGCTATTTACAATACTGTTACAAGAATTCAGCGCAATGGAATTTATACCACACCAGGGATTTTTTCAAATTGTATTCCACCTCTCATTTAAAGTGAGAAACAGTGACATTCTACATATCATTAAAAGAATGTAATAAAGGAAAGAAAAAACAAGCTTCATAATTAAAAAAATATATATTGGAAAAAATACATCCCAGGCAAATGTACCTAACAGCCTGGATTTCTGTCCATATATCTGCCTCCATGGTTTGTAATGCCCATAAGCCACCTACAGATGCTCATCCTCTTGACGTGACTGTAAACTTTAGCAGTCATATTCTATTTGTCAAAACCAGAGCAGACCTACAATTTTTTACTCAACAATGTTTCACTAAGATCATGCATTGAACCTAAAGTTTTCACAGAAGTGTGTTTTATTGAGAAGAGACTCCTGTTCCAGATGAGAAGGAGTAGCAGAAAGTCATTCCCGAATGAGTTGCCTATGAATGGAGCTACCACTCACTGCCATTTTTTGGCTAGAAGAACGAAATGTATTTTCATTTTGATCTGTAATAGAGACGGTTTTCTAAAACTTGATTCCTTTCTCACATAATAGAGTCCTTGCTTACTGAATGGGGTACTAGAGGGCTGCTGTGTCTGCTGCACTGATATTTAGACAGAAAAAACGTTTTTTTTAAATATAATATTCTCTAGTGTCTCTTTTCAGCACTACCACACTATATAGTCTGTTGCACAGATAATGCTTCTGAAGATTACTAATTTAACTAAGGAAACCTAAAGTTGTCAGTCATGGAGTAAATACTAAACCAATTTAAGAAAGTTCCGTGATATACTGCGTAACGTTTTACTGCAGGGTGAACAAGGAGTAGGTAGGTGGCCTGGGACCTAAAGTGGTTGTTGAGGAATCAAAGAATTTAACTGAGTAGCTTTAAAAATGTATAAGCCAATCGAACCTTATTTGAAGACAGTTCTCCAAACCATGGTTTTCAGCAGGGAGCTTAGATTAAGGGAATATACATCTAAAATGTAATGACTTCCAAGAGCCCCTGACCCTGTGCCTCCATCCACCAAAGCACATAAGCAGGACTTTGAACATTTTAAGAGTCCCACAGTCAATTCCTCCTTGCCCCCTTTTTCTTCTTTTCCTTCTCCCCTTCTGGCTTTTCTGAAAGTGGCCTGGATTTTCCTCCTAGAATTATTTTATCTCCTGCCATGAGAAAAATCTGTTATGTCTCATTGAAATGGCTAAACCAACCTACATCCACTGTCCTTTCAGCGCCTTCCCACAGCGCAGTTAGCGGGGCTGTACTCACAATATTCATCAAGGTCAGCAGGTACTTCTGAACATGTTCTTTCCCATGGAACTGAACAACTGAGTCATCAACCCCCAGAAGGACTTCAATGTTGTAATCATCGTCCGTCGCATGCCTTCGATAGCGCTGCCTCGATCTGTGCACCCGGTCTTCAATGAAGCTCAATGCGCTGTTGAGACTATCCAAATTAGTGAGGTTAGCCGCTGAAATCAAACAGACAAACAAGTTATCAACCAAGAGAGGTTCAGGCTCGGGTCTCAGCTAAGCTGGCATCAATTGGAAGCAGCAGCATTTGTTATGTTCTGTGTTATATAACAGCATTAGTTTCACTTAATGACAATCAAAAATGACCTAAATGAGAGAGAAATCTGACCCAAAAGATTTTCACTTTGCAAAGTAAAAGCAATACTTTCTACAAAGTAATATTACGTAACAAATACAAGGCCAAAAGGATAGCAAGTCATACCAAAGTCTTGATGAGAAGAATGGAGCTGTTTGCAGTAAAATACTTGTTGTTTAAAAGTACTTGTAACAAAAATACACCATTCAGGGGTCTTGTGCTACCAAGGATATCCTTCATTTCAGAACCACAACTAAAGACAGACATCACACTTCAAAATCTGATCTCACTGCCCACAGAATCCTACTTCAAGGCAAGGGCAGTTGCCAATACAACCTTTTTATATTGGTAACAAACCAATCCCTATTGCTCCAACACGTTAGCTCATTTCCTAGATACACACATACAATCCAGCAGTAGTGACACGGCTCCTCTTTATTGTTACAACTCAGGAACACGTTTTAGATACGGAATTACTCAATTTATAGCTACATTCAAGAATTTTTTAACAGCTTTTCATCCTTCATTGCCAATTTGTCATGTCACTTTGCATTACTGTGTGTCAAAGAACAATCTATCAGGCACAACAGCAGCCAGCTTTATTACTAACAGCTTCTAATAGTGCCTGTGACATGACAAGCACGTTCTCTGGCAGGACGGGATACAGCTAACGTGGCACCCACGTACTAAAAATTAACATGAAAATATGGAATCTTGACATTTCACCCTATAGAATAACAATGATTAGCACTAATATCGTTATTATTATTTGCATTACAAGAGCCCTGGAGGTCCCAACAAGAACCTCTTGGTTTCAGAGAGCATCAGGAAAAGACTTGCTCAGAGAGACGAGGGGAGACGGCGAGAGCGCTGGGGATTGATGGAAGGGTCCCGGTTTTTAGTTCAGAGAAACGTAATAGGAAGCAAAGGGAGGAAGCTAAAGCCATCACCTTCAAAGCAGAAGTAAGAAACAACTCTTGGAAATGTTACAAAAGTCGATTCTCCACCTTCATTTATTGAAGTTTTCACATCAGAACTGCCTGCTTGGGAAGGGACGAATGAGTCACCAGATCACCAGGCTCATTACAAGAACGTCTGTGCTCTTGCCTCAAGCCCACTGCCATGGCGACCATTTCAGCAGGCCCTGGGCAACACGCAGCCCGAGCAGAGCCTCCCCACTGTGGCAACAACAACCCACAACCTCTACAGCCTCCACCTGCCAGGAGGGACGCACACCTGGCCTCCACCACAGCATCCCGTGATGCCCCGTGCCTCAGGCCATGACGTGTGTGGTGGGTTGCTCATCTCTGTGCCTCCTAGAAGAGGACTCCAGTCAGAGGACAGTCCCTGAATTACACATTTGCCTGGGCAGCTTTTGACTGGTTCTGCGCCAGGGGAGGTTTAGGCTGGATATTAGAAAAAATTTCTTCACTGAAAGAGTGATCAGGCATTGGAACAGGCTGCCCAGGGAAGTGGTGGAGTCACCATCCATGGAGGTGTTCAAGAAATGTGTAGATGTGGTGCTTGGGGACATGGTTTAGTGGGTTGGGTGGTGTTGGGTTGATGGTTGGACTTGATGATCCTTGAGGTCTTTTCCAGCCTTAATGATATTATGATTCTAAGATTCCACCAAGCTCCAAGGACACGCTTCTCCTGAGTCCCACAGCTGACAGACCGAAGGCCCCACGCAGGAGTCCCACATCCCCACAGAGCCACAGGGGCCTTTCTCCTGGGAGGGCAGCATTTAATGCAGCTAACAAGCACAACCACCATGTTCTCATTGCCAGCCTCCAGGCTCCCAGCAGCTTCTGCTCCCAGGGCTGCAAGTTTTCAAAATTAGTCTGTTCAGAATCTGTGATTCAGCATGAAAATTCACCCTTCACGCAGAGCCCAGCTGTCACTCCCAGCTTTACCATGGAAGTGAAATGGGTCTGGCCTTGCAGCGATGGAGACAGCTCTTTATCAGAGCTCAAAACCTGCCAGGCAGCCAGCTCCAGCCCTTCCTCATGGTTTTCTCCACTGGGAAAGCTTCAGTGTTAATCCTTGTTAGTGCCCAGAAGTAATTATCCAGCTGTCACAGCAGTCTCAGGGGATTCACTATGGGATCATGGGGCAATCGTACATTCAGGATCTATAAGGCAAATCACAGTTACTGTAAAATTTGACCATAAATCTTAAAAAGCTTTCTAGAAAAAGTAAGACCAGGCTGGCAGGTGCTGCAGGTCATGTCCTCTCCCTGCTGCTCACAATAACCTACAGTAATCAGCTGCAAGACCAAAGCTCTCAGCCCTGCTTTTGCAGAACAGCGGTGCTGGCTGGGGGGGGGCTGGTATTTTGGTGGATGGCTGGCTGTCAAGGTACCCAGAGCTTTTGTGCTTTCATTTCTTTCCCTTATGTGTCAAAGTCAAACTAACTTCTGGTGCTGCATCTTTATTCC